CCAGTAGCGATGCGTTCAGTTACGAAGATAGCATCCAAATCGCATTCCATTCTCGCTCAATCTGATATTCGTCCTTCGCGGATTGTTGCTCTACGCGATTGATTTTCACACTACCTTCCGTTTAGGCGTTATGCGTGCCAGGTTCACTCCGTGCTTACTTTCACATCAGGTGTACACCCCAGAGTCGGACTCTTTATCCGTTCATTTGTTCCACATACATTCCCTTGATACACGTCCCAGATGACAGTTTGGTTATGCTAACAATGGGATCTTAACTTGATTCTCTTTGGTTACCTCATCTTTTCTGTGGTCCAAAATTGTGTATCAAAAAGCAAACACATGGTCTGCAGAACATAATCCTTTTGTTTAACCCCAGCATAATAAGATGACGACTCATGCTGTCTCTCTCTCTCGCCCTCTGAACAATAATGCTTATTATATTAATTCTCTCAAAGTCACTGGGCAATAAATTTCTCAATGGAAACATCGATAAAAATATATCGGTTTCATTTTCATTCTTAACCTTACACGGTCCAACCGCGTTATGACTATTTTCAAGCAAGTCCGCAGGTTCTCGTACCAGGCCCTTCGTTTGAAATCGTAATCTGTCACGCAGCACTTCAGCCCATCAGTTCATCTCATATGTGGTGGTGCGATGGATTAGTCACGGTTACCAGTGTGCTTTTGCCCCTATGGTCTGAGCCCCACCACCACAACTCAAGTTTGCTGGTAGGCAATTTTGCTGTCGAACGCATCAATACCACTTATAACCTAGTGGGGCCTTACGTGGTTCGCCACTCCGAGTCCCGGGGCATAGGTTACCAGATTCCACCACTGAACAGCAGGTCCTCGTGACTATGGGATTCGCCCGTCTGCTCTTCATTGTAGAAATATTTTCAATGAAAAGAATCGTGTAACACTGGCTTAACGCATCCTGTGTAACCTTCCCTGGCATTTGAAATATGACTTTCAAGCTAGTGTTCAGACCTATCGCATTTATCCGCTTGCAGTGGTCTCCCATTTGCAAACACTATCAACTTTGCTTCATTCAAACATTCAAAAGTTTATGACAACTTACCCCAAAAACTCTTTAACGATCGCATATATCACTTACATCATGTCCACAGCAAATGATTTTACCTCCTAGTCGCATTACAAACTTCTCTATGCTTGTACCAAGAAATGCAGATCCACTGTTGAACCCTAACTTGCATGCATTCTCCTCAACTCTGATCGATTCTTAAACGAAATTACTTCGATGTTGGATTGACGACACGCACATCAACAATCACTCGTGTTTACTAGCACTGTTGACGCCTAATGGTGTTCCAGTCGCTGACTATTCACCCCGTGGGTCTATGAGAAAGTACCTGCTTGCATCCCGAGCAGACTGACTGCACATGATCATGTAAGCTTAAACAGCACCAACAGGAAATCCCAAGTAACTCTTTGGGCCGAGCAAAGAACCAGAAGAGTCCCGTGGACGAATAAGTCCTCCACAGCTTTCTGTACACGATAACCAACTGATTTCAACAGAAGAAGTGCACCGGTCACGGGTGAGTGATCGAAAAACTGGAAAACGGGTGGTGAAATGTGCTCGTGGCTTAACCGAGAAAGAGAGAGAGAGAGAGGAAAAGGGCGACCATACTCATACCATCTCATTCTGCGATGACCGTGAGAGGGGGCGGTGAGTGATTAGTTTACTCTATGGAACACTATGCAACTATCTATCTATCACGATATTTAATTGAGGTGCAGGTTTAATCAACACCATAGTTACCGATTTAGACTGTCTAGTTCGGCACGCCCTTTGCCGACAACTGGGACGCTGTCACTTTTTTATCTACCAATGGAATGAAATGGACGGACAACAGCAGAGACAAATACAAGTAAGCGGATAGGTGGACTGGAGGAGAACTCTTGTTTCCGGTGACTCAACCGCACGCTGGCATCACAATTATCTGGCCGTCGAGGCGTTTACAGGTAAGATGAAACGTGAACGCAGAACACACGTGTTCAACCAAAAGATAAAGTAAGGGTTTATTGGATAAAAGTGAACGTACCACTGGCGCCGCATCGATCTCTCCATCCTCGTACTTCGAATTGGTTTGCGGTGTAGGCACACCCGTAACTGCAGATCCAGCCAATCTAGACATTATGTCTTTCCAGTCTAAATCATCGTCATTCCGAGCCTGTACAGTCATATGCACGGTCTGAAGCGACGCAGATGAAAGCGAAAAAGACAGTAGAGAGAGGAAAAAGGGGTTAGTCTGGATAAACCTGTACGGAGGGGGTGAGTCAAGCGTGGAACAGAATAGGGGGTGAGCAGATAGTTAAAATTTGCCATCTGTTTTGCGTCGGCGGTGATCTACACGTTTCGTTCAGCCCACATATTTAATTTGATGCGTCCACGTTTCTGGTTCGATTTGTTTTTTACCAAATGATAAAACATGAATCACAGTACATGTGATAGTAGTAGTAGTAAAGACTCACTCACTATACATCAAAACCAGCTGGTTAATGATGTTCGAAAACTTGCTTATAGACGGAAATGCAGAGTGAGGGTGTTCCGCAGCCTAGCAGTTCTCAGGAAAGCTGGAACTAAAGCCAGAAACACAACAAGTGCAAACGGAAACTTGGTAAGGGTGACATGTCGCCTGTGTGCGAGTTGGACCAATGAACAGGAGAGTCGGAACGACAGATGCAAGCGTTTGATAACACAAACCCTGGTTGAAACCCCGGACAGGAAAGGGCAAGTGACGCAACAGTCCGTTCGTGGGCCGCTGGGGATTGCATAAATAAAAGCAGCATTGGATCAGCTGGTTTCGCTCTATTAACGGATCAAAACCGGACGTGATGAGTGAGTGTGAGCGGCTGATCACCCATTCCTGGCAGCTTATGAAATGCTCCCATTAACCAAGTGTCTCAAATAGATTCTGCTAAGGAAACTCAACTCACCGAGTCCTCGTGGCGGACGTGTTTTACCACCAAAGTGAGAGAACTGAAAGCCAATATCCGGGGCCACAATCGGGTAGGGGAAAATCGGCAGTTCACCCAAGGGAGTTGGCTGAAAACCCTGATTACAAACCAACCAAGAATAAGCCCACGAACCAGGCACACGCCTTTCTGATCGTGGTGATGGTCACCCGCTCGATTGGGTAATGAGGTGTATCGGACACCTTGGGCATTTGACTCCATCCAACAGGCATATGATCCGATGAACTGGGCACCCACCAGGAAAATTCACTTGCCTTGGTCTGGGCAATCTGGTATTACTCGACCCACATGCAAATCTTGGAAAGTTTTTCTTTTTTAAAAAGATTACTATACCACGATTTGTTTGGCACACCATCTGAACTCAGGCGCGTGGGTGTATAAATATATAAAAAAGATAATTTTCATGCATATGCCTAGAAATTCCGAAATAGCAGCAGAAAACGATTGGTCGTGCGACCGTGAGTCTCAGAATTGAAGGCAGATAGTAGCATTCTGTAGTTGATGGTCACTATCTGCAATGGCGACGCCTGATGGCAACACTAATCAAGCGAGATGGAAAAAAAATCAACTTTTCGGGGAAATGATTGCACAGTATCGTCTCCCATACTTACATCAGGCATTATTTATTACACATCACAATCTTGGCAGTGAACGAGAAAAGTAATTTGTTATTCGTCCTGCTTGTTACATTTTTGTTCACTCATTTTGGGGAAGAAAACTTCGCCATCCGTGAAGAACAGTAAGTAGGTCACAGTCACAACTAAGA